CCCACCGTTCGCGACGCCTTACTCGTACTACACTCACGACTGCACTGAGATAACATGAATTACTCCTCACCCCCTCACCCCCTCACCCCCTCACCCCCTCACCCCCTCACCCCCTCACCCCCTCACCCCTCACTCCGTTTATCTCTGTACTCATCCATGTTTCTGTGTTGTAGATCAGGGATAGCAAGCGTAGCAGCTTCGATGCAGGCATGATGCAGTTTATCTCTATATCTCACCTGTATATCTCATCTGTTGTAGATCAGAGATAGCAAGCGTAGCAGCTTCGACGCGGGCATGATGCAGTTTGAGCAGCTGCTGAACAATCGCACGTTCCTCCTCGTCCTCATCAACACACTCGAGAACCAGAAGGGCTTCAGCATCCGTGACAAGTACGTTAGAGCTTCACGCAGCAAGGGTTGGGGCTTCAGTAGATGTCACTTCAGTAGAGAGGCTTGGTGCTTTTTTTCGTGCGAGAATTTTTAGACAAGAATGAGTACAATAGCTATACATAATACCTATATATATAATTTAATATATAAATAATAATATTATAATTATATTATATAATTAATAATATTAAAATTATAATATATAAATAATAATATTATAATTATATTATATAAATAATAATATTATAATTATAATGTATAAATGTATAATAATATATATATATATATATTTTCATAATTTAGCCATCAGTTGATTCTGAATCTCCCCCTTCCCCCGTAACCGTGGCGACGTCGCTGACCTCCGTGTGTTGTGTGTTTGTTTGCAGGGTTAATGTGGCTTCACTGCTTATGATCGCCTTCATCAACAAGATGGATTACGCCACTGAGTGAGTGCGCTCCCCCGCATCCTCCTCCTCATCCTCCTCAGCATTGTCATCCTCATCCTCATCCTCATCCTCATCCTCATCCTCCTCATCGTCCTCATCCTCACCCTCATCCTTCTCCTAATCCTCATCTTCATCCTCATTCCCACCCCCATCCTCATCCTCATCCTCATCCCCTCCCCCTCCTCATCCTCATCCTCATCCCCTCCCCCTCCTCATCCTCATCCTCATCCTCCTCCTCATTCTCCTCATCCTCATCATCATCCTCATCATCCTCATCATCCTCATCCTCCTCATCATCCTTATTATTGTCATCCTCATCTGCATCAAGTGTAGAATAGCGGTAGATTAAGCATAGATCATGTAATAAGAGCAATCCATCATAATGTGATTTCGTGATACTGATCAAGCGTAAATCCTGCAGATATCTAGTGTAGATGATTTAATGATCAACTGTAAATTATGTAGCGATCAAGTGTATATCGTGTAGTGATGCAGTGGCGCCATGCGGTGGCAGATAATAGCAGCTAGAGGGCGCTGTGTCTCACGCGTTCGCGCGCCGCGTTCGTTACAGGATCCTCAAGTCGCTCCTGCGTCTGCTAATCGCTCGCTCTGTGGAGAAGAAGCATCCGCAGCTGATGCTGCGTAGGTGAGTAACTCGTTAACACACCTGTACGTACCTATGCACAGGTGAGTAGATCGCTCGTTAACACACCTGTACGTACCTATGCGCAGGTGAGTAGATTGCTCGTTAACACACCTGTACGTACCTATGCGCAGGTGAGTAGATTGCTCGTTAACACACCTGTACGTACCTATGCACAGGTGAGTAGATCGCTCGTTAACACACCTGTACGTACCTATGCGCAGGTGAGTAGATTGCTCGTTAACACACCTGTACGTACCTATGCACAGGTGAGTAGATCGCTCGTTAACACACCTGTGCGTAACTGCACACAGATGTCGCTTGTTCATATTGAATGTAATTAATTAAATATATAATATAAATAATAATAAAATATATAACATTAACAATAATAATAATAATAATAATAATAATAATAATAATAATAATAATACGTTATATTTAGTCCATAACTCGCACCGTATCTATCGTTACCCCAACAGCATTTTTAATCTCGCGTGTGGCTTGTGATGTTCTAGGACTGAGTCGGTGGTGGAGAAGATGCTAACCAACTGGATGGCTCTCTGTATGTACAACTACCTGAGGGTAAGTAGCAGCAATAGCTGACCTATAGCTGACCTGTAGCTGACCTATAGCTGACCTGTTGCTGACCTGTAGCTGACCTGTTGCTGACCTGTAGCTGACCTATAGCTGACCTATAGCTGACCTGTAGCTGACCTGTAGCTGACCTGTAGCTGACCTATAGCTGACCTATAGCTGACCTGTAGCTGACCTGTAGCTGACCTATAGCTGACCTATAGCTGACCTATAGCTGACCTATAGCTGACCTGTAGCTGACCTATAGCTGACCTGTAGATGACCTATAGCTGACCTGTAGCTGACCTATAGCTGACCTATAGCTGACCTGTAGCTGACCTATAGCTGACCTATAGCTGACCTGTAGCTGACCTTTATTTGAAAAATAGTGGAACCTAATGATGTTCATTTGTTCATGTTGTTCCTGCATGACGCATTGTTCCTGTTTGACATGTTGTTCATGTGTGTGTTTGCAGGAGTATGCGGGAAGGCCGTTGTTCATGTTGTTCGTGTGTGTGTTTGCAGGAGTACGCGGGCAGGCCGTTCTTCATGTTGTTCATGTGTGTGTTCGCAGAAGTACGCGGGCAGGCCATTGTTCATGCTGTTCGTGTGTGTGTTTGCAGGAGTATGCAGGCAGGCCGTTGTTCATGTTGTTCGTGTGTGTGTTCGCAGGAGTATGCGGGAAGGCCGTTGTTCATGCTGTTCAAGGCGATCAAGCACCAGATGGAGAAGGGACCGGTGGATTATGTGACGAGTGATGCTCGATACTCCCTTAGTGAGGACAGACTGCTGCTAGAGAAAACAGATCACAGCGTGCTGGTATGTACCACCTCCCTTCCTCTCTCTCTCTCTCTCCCTCCCCCTCTCTCACACTCGCCCTTCCTCTCTCTCTCT